GTTCCTCAAAATATTCTCGCCATCTACCTAATACCTCCCTCTCCCCATCTACTAACTCCCCTACTCTGTTTTTAACTGACAAATCCATACTTTCCCTAGGCTTTCTTAACTTGTTTAACTCACTCTAAAATTTTTTCTTATTTTCATTAAAATTTCTTGACAGTGCCTCTCCACTCTTTCATCTGCTCTCCTTTTGCACTCTCTCACCACTCTCTTCACCTTTCTTTTACTCTCCATATACTCTGCTCTTCTTATAACACTTCTGCTTTGTAAAAACCTCTCGTTAGCTACCTTTTTCTCTTTTATCACACCCTTTACTTCATCATTCCACCAATCACTCCTCTTTCCTCCTGCCCCCACCCTCCTATAACCACAAACTTCTGCCCACATTCTAATACTGCATTTTTAAAACTATTCCAACCCTCTTCAACCCCCCCACTACTCATCTTTGCACTAGCCCACCTTTCTGCCAACAGTCGCTTATATCTCACCTGAACTTCCTCCTCCCTTAGTTTATACACTTTCACCTCCCTCTTACTTGTTGTTGCCACCTTCCTCTTTTCCCATCTACCTCATACTCTAACTGCAGCTACAACTAAATAATGATCCGATATATCAGTTGCCCCTCTATAAACATGTACATCCTGGAGCCTACCCATCAACCTTTTATCCACCAATAACAGTCTCTCAACATCTTCTATCACTTGCGATCTCTGTTTCGAAAGCACAGTTAAACCTTTGGCAAGAACAGCTTCCTTGATTGCCGTTCTCTTGGACACAATACAAGCGATGGTTGATTGGGGTTTACTATACAACCTGTAGATGAATGGTTGACAGAACCGACACGTTGATAAATTAGACACATGTGCAAGTCTTGTGTATCTTTATTAAGGAAACGTTTCACCACACAGTGGCTTCATCAGTCCATACACAGGAGAAGCTTGAAGAATAGGAGGAGAATGAGGTAATCAGTCCCTCAACCTTGAGTCGAAGTGGTCAGTCCATCAATCTTGAGTAGAATATGGCATATGAGCGGAGAAGGAGCTTATAAACCATAGGTAGGAGAGGTGCAGCAGTCATAGGTGGTGTCACATTTGCCCAATGTGGAAGTAGGTCGTGCCCAAGCGAAGAATTCCCAAGTATTAAGATCTTGGGATCTTAATTCTTCGCTTGCCTAACCCTTGGGCACGACCTACTTCCACATTGGGCACCACCTATGACTGCTGCACCTCTCCTACCTACGGTTTATAAGCTCCTTCTCCGCTCATATGCCATATTCTACTCAAGATTGATGGACTGACCACATCGACTCAAGGTTGAGGGACTGATTACCTCATTCTCCTCCTATTCTTCAAGCTTCTCCTGTGTATGGACTGATGAAGCCACTGTGTGGTGAAACGTTTCCTTAATAAAGATACACAAGAGTTGCACACGTGTCTAATTTATCAACATGTCGGTTCTGTGAACCATTCATCTACAATCCTGTCAGACACTGCAACTTCTTGGGATCTTAATACTTGGGAATTCTTCGCTTGCCTAACCCTTGGGCACGACCTACTTCCACATTGGGCAAATGTGACACCACCTATGACTGCTGCACCTCTCCTACCTATGGTTTATAAGCTCCTTCTCCGCTCATATGCCGTATTCTACTCAAGATTGATGGACTGACCACATCGACTCAAGGTTGAGGGACTGATTACCTCATTCTCCTCCTATTCTTCAAGCTTCTCCTGTGTATGGACTGATGAAGCCACTGTGTGGCGAAATGTTTCCTTAATAAAGATACACAAGAGTTGCACGTTTCTAATTTATCAACTATACAACCTGGCCAGCTCGGAGACATGCACTCCACCTTCATACTTAGCAATGATCTCTTTCTTCATCTCCATAGTAATTCTCACCCTTATTCCTGTAGGGTTGGCACTAGAAGCTTTCTTGGGGCCCATGGTCACTTATTTTTCAGGTGAAATCACTATAAAAAGGCTGTAATAATACGAAACGTTCCGATTGTATGCTTAAATGTTACCGTGGAGCCTGGTTTGTAAACAATGCCACTGGCAGAACAAGTGAGGCTGGCTCAGTCCGCATGGACGTGTCTTGGACGAATCGCGTTGAGCGAATTTTTTAGCACTATGCGAGGCAAAATTTTAGCAATAAAATGTATCGCTATGCGGATTTAACACTATGCGATGCCAACGTTATGCGGGGGTCCACTGTATACTTTTTGTTTTATTACCTTCAGAAAAAGATTCTCTACCATTGCATAAGATTTTTTTTTTTTTTTTTGAAAAATCTTGGACCCTCAAAGGGTTAATAGCTGTTTTGCCAGAAGTATGCAAACATCCCATTTCACATCACCCCAGAACTGTAACCTCCACACCCCTCCCTTAAGAGTTCAAGCACTATACTCACCTCCAGAACTCAAATGTATCTAACCAGTTTTCCCAAATCCCTTCATAAATGCTACCTTGTTCATATTCCAACAGCACTATTAGTTTAACTGGAAAAAAATAGTCCGAATTATGATATCTTGTGTCTAGTATTAATATGGGTAGCAAGACCAATGAAAACACTGGATGGATCATAACTCACAAATGAACAACAAATTGCAGAAATGGAAGAGTGAGAGTCTTGAGACTTGGCAAAGAAATTAACTAATTACAGAACATTAAAGTTATCAAAGTTATTTCACTGGATACAAATTGCAGATACATGGATTATTTTTTTTTCAACAAACTGGCCATATTCCACTGAGGCAGGGTGACCTAAAAAGAAAAATGAAAGTTTCTCTTTTTAAAATTAGTAATGTACACAGCAGAACAGGTTACTAGCCCCTGGCTCCCGGCATTTTAGTCGCCTCTTATGACACGCATGGCTTACAAAGGAAGAGTTCTGTTCCACTTCCCCATGGAGATAAAAGGAAATAAACAAGGGAAAGAACTAATAAGAAAATATAAGAAAACCCAGAGGGGTGTGTGTATATATATATATGCTTGTACATGCATGTGTAGTGAGACCTAAGTTTAAGTAGAAGTAGCGAGATGTACCTGAAATCCTGCATGTTTATGAGACAGAGAAAAGACACCAGCAATCCTACCATCATGTAAAACAATTACAGGCTTCTGTTTCACACTCACTTAGCAGGGCGGTTTTACCACCTTGGGCAGTGCTGTTTACCAACCTACTACCTAGGATACATGGATTTATACAAATAACACTTGAGTCCTGGAAATGGGAAGTACAATGCCTACACTTTAAAGGAGGGGTTTGGGATATTGGCAGTTTGGAGGGATATGTTGTGTATCTTTATACATATATGCTTCTAAACTGTTGTATTCTGAGCACCTCTGCAAAAACAGTGATTGTGTGTGAGTGTGGTGAAAGTGTTGAATGATGATGAAAGCATTTTCTTTTTGGGGATTTTTTCTTTTTTGGGTCACCCTGCCTCGGTGGGAGACGGCCAACTTGTTGAGAGAGAGAGAAAAAAAAAACATTCACCATCATTCATTCAATCAGTCTTACCAGTAGTGTAATAACACTTTCTCCTAGTTACATACACACTAACAATAGCCCACATCTCACATCCCATCTTTCTTCTAACCAAAATAATTCTTAGCTTGTACACTTATCGTCAATCTTTCCTTTCCATAATTATTAACATAATATTACCACTACTCCTTCCATAGTTCTGATTCTCTTAACTCTTTCAGGCTTGAGAGGCTCTCTCCTAAACTCGTTCTCAGGGTCGAAAATTTTTTCGGAAAAAAAAAAAAAATTATTTTTTCTTATAAAATGATAGAGAATCTTCTCCCGATCATAATGACACCTAAAGTATTAAATTTGATGGAAAATTTATGGAATTATGCTCTGGCAAAGTTAGCGGTCTCAACGATGTTTACACATTGGCGATTTTGCCCACTTTAAGCCCTATTTTCGGCCAATTTCAGTGTACGAATCGACAAAAATCATAACTATTTCGCTAGAACTCCACTTTTTCTATCGAATGAGTACAAGAAACCACCCATTTACCAATTTCAAGTATCCAATAAAGTGGTCAGAAATTGGCAATTTTGCCAATTTCACAAAAATTTCAGAAGATGCCAATTTCCAAATAGGCCCAGAATAAGCAAGACAGACATCCCTGGTACTAAAATAACATTTTCTCTGTTCATTAGTGACGTCCCCAGGCCCCTCTTACATCTCTTATGCTTCCCACTTCGAATTTTTATTTTCACAAAAAATAGAAGATTTATGCAGACTACTGCATTAGTGTAGAAATGGTATAACTAATATCAGTGTACTTGTGAAAGAATATTAGACTCGCCAGTTGACGTGTATTGGATGCTTGACATGATTTTTTTATTTTTGAAATTTGGTAAAAATCGAACATTTCTGCTGCTTTGAGCTCAATTTCAAGGTACTTTTCATTGTAAAACCAATCAAAATCATCTCCATTTCTGTAATATGTCTTCCATTCTATAAAATGAGACCAGGAAAACTAGAATACAACCATAAATTCCATACGAAAATACACTGCAAAGTCGCCGTTTTAAACCAAAAACATGGTCGGAGTTTTTTTTTCTCATTATGCACTGTGCGCTGCAGGATTTTTTTTATACTGTGCACACTGACCACACAGACCCATTCATTCATATGTAGGCCTACCAGCTTTCTCTCACTAGATTTGAAGGCACTAGAATTTAGGCATTCAAGTACGTCAATAACCCTGGTGCGTAAGCCGTACTAGTACACTGGAAACCCTGAAAGGGTTAAGATACCCTTGATTTAATCCCATTTACCCTTCCCTACTAAAATTATCCCATCCCTTTTAGCTTTGCTTCACTTAGTACTAGTACATCCTTCCTTTCACAACATCAACAATCAATCCTTTCTCACAATCTGTACTATGCCCATGCATATTCAAACACCCTAGTTTTAAAAATGGACTTTTAGTAACTGAATAATTATGAATAGTTTAATCATCAGTCTTAACATACCTTGGTCACACTTTGGTCATTGAAGCAGAACCATTCTCCTGTTGCAAAGTCCTTAATGTAAGCATAATAATGGCCACCTGAAGCACTGCCAGAGTGGATCATAATTGAGAAGAGCTCAAAGACATATGGGCCATTTGTCAGCCAAGTCTTGTTCTTCTCATTATACATACTGCTCACGTCTATTCCTTCATCTTCATCCTGGAGTTTAGAATACAACAATATGTTATTCATAATCTTATTATCAACATTTCTTCTAATAGTATACATCACTGCACAGCTATGATTCATATCAGAATATGATTAATTTTTTTTTTTAACAAACCAGCCATATCCCACTGAGGGATAGAGACCTAAAAAGAAGGAAGAAAGTTTCTCTTTTTAAATTTTGTAATGAACACAGGAAAAGGGGTTTCAAGCCTGTTGCTCCCGGCATTTTAGTCGCTTCTTACGACACACATGGCTTACGGAGGAAGAATTCTGTTTCACTCCCCAATGGAGAATGATTATTCTTTTTTTTTTTTTTAACAAGTCGGCTGTCTCCCACCGAGGCAGGGTGACCCAAAAAGAAAAAATCCCCAAAAGGAAAATATACTTTCATCATCATTCAACATTTTCACCTCACTCACACATAATCACTGTTTTAGCAGAGGTGCTCAGAATACACAGTTTAGAAGCATATATGCATAAAGATAAACAACACATCCCTCCAAACTGCCAATATCCCAAACCGCTCCTTTAAAGTGCAGGCATTGTACTTCCCATTTCAAGGACTCAAGTCCGGCTATATAAAAATAACCGGTTTCCCTGAATCCCTTCATTAAATATTACTCTGCTCACACTCCAACAGCTCATCAGGTCCCAAATACCATTTGTCTCCATTCACTCCTATCTAACACGTTCACCCACGCTTGCTGGAAGTCCAAACCCCTCGCCCACAACACCTCCTTTACCACCCAGGGAGGTACTACCATCCTGCCAAGTGAGTGTAAAACGAAAGCCTGTAATTGTTTTACATGATGGTAGGATTGCTGGCGTCTTTTGTCTGTCTCATAAATATGCAAGATTACAGGTACGTCTTGCTACTTCTACTTACACTTAGGTCACACTAAACTTACATGTACACGTTTATTTATACACACTCATCTGAGTTTTCTTTGATTTTATCTTAGTTCTTGTTCTTATTACTTTTCCTTTTATATCCATGGGAAAGTGGAATAAGAATCTTTCCTCCGTAAGCCATGCGTGTTGTAAAAGTCAACTAAAATGCCGGGAACAATGGGCTAGTAACCCCTTTTCCTGTAATAATTACTAAAAAGAATAAGAAGAAAATTGAGGTATATGTGGAGACAAAAAACGTTATCTATGGAGGCAAAGAAGGGAATGTATGAAAGCACAGTGGCACCAACACTCTTATATGGGTGTGAAGCTTGGGTTGTAAATGCTGCAGCGAGGAGGAGGTTGGAGGCAGTGGAGATGTCCTGTCTAAGGGCAATGTGACGTGTAAATATTACGCAGAGAATTCGGAGTATGGAAATTAGGTGGTGGTGTGGAGTTACTAAAAGTATTAGTCAGAGGGCTGAAGAGGGATTTTTGAGATGGTTTGGTCATTTAGAGAGAATGTATCAAAGCAGAATGATATGGGGAGTGTATAAATCTGTAGGGGAAGGAAGGAGGGGTAGGGGTCGTCCTTGAAAAGGTTGGATGGAGGGAGGAGGTAAAGGAGGTTTTGTGGGAGAGGAGCTTGTACTTCCAGGAAGTGTGTGAGAGCATGTTAGATAGGAGTAAATGGAGACTTGAGTACTGGAAATGGGAAGTACAATGCTTGCATTTTAAAGGAGGGGGTTTGGGATTTTAGCAGTTTGGAGGTATATGTTATATATCTTTATATATGCTTCTAAACTGTTGTATCTGGGTGCCTCTGCAAAAACAGTGATTATGTATGAGTGATGTTAGTGTTGAATGATGATGAAAGTATTTTCTTTTTGGGGATTTTCTTTCTTTTTGGGTCACCCTGCCTCGGTGGGAGACGGCTGACCTGTTGGAATAAAAAAAAAAAAATGGAGACGAAAGGTGTTTGGGACTTGACGAGCTGTTGGAGTGTGACCAGGGTAATATTTAGAGAAGGGATTCAGGGAAACTGATTATTACAGATTTAGCCACACCTGAGTCCTGGAAATGGGAAGTACAATGCCTGCACTTTAAAGTAGGGATCTGGGATAACGACGGTTTGGAGGGACTTCTAAACTGTCGTATCTGAGTGCCTCTGCAAGGACAGTGATTATGTACAAGTGAGGTGAAAGTGTTGAATGATGTTAAAAGCATTTTCTTTTTGGGGATTTTCTTCCTTTTTGTGTCACCCTGCCTTAGTAGGAGACGGTTGACTTGTTGAAAAAATAAAAAAAATCACCAAATAGGGATAAATCTCAATCCTATCTGGAATTATTTTTTTTATTATCACACTGGCCGATTCCCACCAGGGCAGGGTGGCCCGAAAAAGAAAAACTTTCGCCATCATTCACTCCATCACTGTCGTGCCAGAAGGGTGCTTTACAGTTTTTAAACTGCATTCACAAACCAAAAACAATACTGGTCTTAATACTGATCTTTGCAGAAACCTGAAAGTTACTCTTCCCCAGTCTAACAACTCTTTCGCCTACAATAATCTTTGATCTACTTAAGTACGTTCCATTACTCCCACCTAAATCTCAAGTTTTTGGCCATTCCTCTTGAGTGTGTTAGAGCTGAGTGAGTGGAGACAAGTGATTTTTAAAGTCTGATGTGCTGCTGGAGGGTAAGCTATTTAACCCTTTGACTGTTGCGGCCGTATATATACGTCTTACGAGGTACCGTGTTTGACGTATATATACTCATAAATTCTAGCGGCTTCAAATCAAGCAGGAGAAAGCTGGTAGGCCCACATGTGAGAGAATGGGTCTGTGTGGTCAGTGTGCACCATATAAAAAAAATCCTGGAGCACGCAGTGCATAATGAGAAAAAAAAAACTCCGACCGATTTTTTTTAATTAAAATGCCGACTTTGTGGTCTATTTTCATATAGTATTTATGATTGTATTCTCATTTTCTTGGTCTCATTTGATAGAATGGAAAACATATTATAGAAATAGAGGTGATTCTGATTGATTTTACTATAAAAAGAACCTAGAAATGGAGCTCAAAGTAGGGGAAATGTTTGATTTTTGCCAATGTTCAAAAGTCAACAAATGATGCCATTGTCCAATAAATGTCCAACTAGCCATTCTAATATGCAGTCATGAATGGGTTGATGTTATTTATACAATTATTACAGTATTGCAGTAGTCTGCATAATAGTAAGTCTTCTATTTTTTGTTTGAATAAAAATTCAAAATAGAAAGCAAGAGTAATATCAGAGGGGCCTGGAGACATGACTGATGAGCAAAGAAAATGTTATTTCAGAGCCAGGAATGTCTGCATTGTTCATTCTGGACCTTATTTTGAAATTGTCATATTTTTTAGTTTTCGTGAAATTGGCCAAATTGCAAATTTCTGACCACATTATTAGGTAGTTGAAATCGGTAAATGGGCAGTTTCTTGTACTCAATCAATAGAAAAAATGGAGTTCTAAAGAAATAGCTATGAGTTTGGGCGACTGGAACAATGGAATTAGCCGAAAATAGGTCTCAAAGTGGGCGAAATCGCCGATTTGTAAACAGCGCCGAGGTCACTAACTTTGTGAGAGCATAATTCCGTCAGGTTTCCATCAAATTTCATTTTTTTTGGTGTCATTACAATCGGGAAAAGATTCTCTATCATTTCATAAGAAAAATAATTTTTTTTTTTTTAAATTTTACGACACCAGGAGACACCTCAGGATTGGGGGTTGCGACAGTCAAAGGGTTAACATCTATTCAGGTTAGAATGACCAGAGGCCCAGAGGTGGGTAGTACAGTGCACTCTGAAGGTGTGGGGGATGATGCTATTTGGAAGGTCATCTAAATTGTGATGTCTGTGAACTTCTGGCATGACAGCTATTCAGTGAATGATGGAGAAGGGGTTTCCTTTTTTATGGTCACCCTACCTTGATGGGAAATGGCCTATGTGGTAAAAAAAAAAAAGACATTGCAATAAAAACAAAATTACACAAGATTCTGTATTTATAATTTGCATCACCTGATTATCAGACTCAGGCTGGGAATTTGAAGTGTTTTCAACAGAACTGTCTTCTACATCAAGTGCTGAGCCTGAGTCAGTAGTGGATACATCATCAACCTTGTCTGCTGAAAGTTTATCTGGGGTGACAGCAGTAGTGGATGCACATCCATCTTCTTTATTTGGATTCTCAATGAAATAATTCAAGTCCAGGATGTTTGGGAATGTGACTCTAAGAAAAACAAGTAACAATAAATACTTAAATTTAAAGAATGTAAAATATATAATACTCTACTACTACTTGTCGGTTCTCTGAACCATTCATCTACATAATACTCTACTACACAGCAAATTAAGGGAAAGACAAAGTACAGGTACCATCCAACTTACGACCAAGCTTGGTTCCGACCAACCGGTCGTAATTCAAAATGGATGCAAGTCGAACCTTAGAATATTGCCGACGTACTGGGTAGTAGTAGTTATACATGTGGTGGAAAAGTCAGCTGGTACATAAACATAAGAATGGAGGAAAACTGCAGAAGGCCTACTGGCCCATGCAAGGCAGGTCCTTATCAAAACGACCTCTACCCAAAGCTACCCAAGAATTTACTCCCGTACCCAATGACACCAATCAAACCCAGCCCCTCCCACTCGTATATCTGTCCACTCTTTTTAAAGCTACCCAAGGTCCTAGCCTCGATCACCCTACTGGGAAGATTGCTCCACGCATCCACAACTCTGTTAGAAAACCAGTACTTACTTATGTCTTTTCTAAATCTAAATTTTTCCAACTTAAAAACATTATTTCTGGTTCTTACCTGGCTTGACACCCTCAGTACTTTACCAATATCTCCTTTGTTCATGCCCATCATCCACTTATACACTTCAATGATATCTCCCCTCATTCTACGTCTCTCCAGAGAGTGGAGATTTAAGGCTAAGTCTATCTTCATACGGGAGATTCCTTACACAGTAAATCATTTTAGTCATTCTTCACTGTATGTTCTCCAATGAATCTATATCCATCCTGTAGTAAGGAAACCAAAACTGAGCGGGCTAATCCAAATGAGGCCTCACTTGTGAGGTGTAGAGCTGTAAAATAACTTTTGGACTTCTGTTACTTATAGTTCTAGAGATAAATCCTAGTAATCTGTTAGCCTTGTTGCGCACACTAAGGCACTGCTGTCTTGGCTTCAGATTTCTGCTTACCATGACTCCCAAGTCTTTTTCACATTCTGTATGATCAAGCTCTACTTCACTTAGATTATAGCTTTGAGGGTTATTTTCATTACCAAGGACTAGTACCTTACACTTATCCACATTGAACTTCGTTTGCCATTTTTCAGACCAAGACATTAATTTGTCCAAATCCTCCTGGAGTTCATTGCTATCCTCCTCAGAATGAATTATACGGCCTATCTTTGTATCATCAGCAAATTTACTCATGTCACTCGTAATCCCTTCATCAAGGTCATTAATGTAAATTATGAACAAGAGAGGGCCTAAAACTGATCCTTGTGGAACGCCACTATGGAGACCAGAATTGAGCTGCATAATCTAGGTGAGGCCATACTAATGATGTATAAAACTGCAGTATGACCTTTGGACTTCTGTTGCTTACATTTCTTGATATAAATCCCAGTAATCTATTTGCCTTATTATGTACACTTAGGCTAATCCCCATTCAGATTTCACCCCAATAATGGTAACTCTCTGCTTTCTATTGGTAAGCCATGCCTCTATCCATGCTAGAACTTTACCTCCTATACCATGAGCTGCCACTTTTCTTAAGAGTCTCTTGTGAGGTACTCTATCGAAGGCTTTACTAAAATCCAAATAAACAATATCATATTCTTTATCACTGTCCACTGCCTCAAATGTTCTATTGAAGAACATCAGTAAATTTGTCAGGCAGGAACGACTTCTCATGAATACATGCTGAGATTCATTTATCAAGTTATGCTCTTCAAGGCGACTTCTAATAATGTCAGCTATAATTGATTCTAATAACTTGCCCACTACAGATGTCAGGCTTACTGGACAGTAATTTGAAGGAGTAGACTTATCCCCTGATTTGAATATAGGAACCACATTAGCCGTCTTCCACAACTCTGGCATAACACTGGTAAGGATGGACGCATTAACCCTTTGAGGGTCGACAGGCCCTCTCCGAAACTCGTTCTCAGGGTCGGCCAAATTTAAAAAAAAAAAAAAAAAAATTTCTCTTATGAAAAGATAGAGAATGTTTTCCCGATCACAAAGACACCAAAAGTTTGAAATTTGATAGAAAACTTACGGAATTATGCTCTCGCAAAGTTAGCGGTCTCGGCGATGTTTACGCATCGGCGATTTTGCCCACTTTGAGCCCCATTTTCGGCCAATTTCACTGTACTAGTCGACAAAAAACATGAATATTTCGCTAGAACTCCATTTTTTCTATCGAATGGGTGCAAGAAACCACCCATTTATAAATTCAACTATCCAGTACAGTGGTCAGAATTTAGCAATTTTGCCAATTTCACACAAATTTCAAAAGATGCCAATTTCCAAATAGGGTCCAGAATAAACAAGAAAGACATTCCTGGCACTAAAATGACATTTCCTCTAGTCATTAGTCACGTCTCAAGGCCCCTCTTATATTCTTTTGCTTTCCACTTTGAATTTTTATTCTCACAAAAAATATAAGATTTACTGTTATGCAGACTACTGCATTAGTGTAAAAAATGGTATAAATATTATTGGTGCACTTGTAAAAGAATATTAGACTCACCAGTTGACGTGCATTGCACGCTTGGCACGATTTGTTTACTTTTGAAGTTTGGTAAAAATCGAACATTTCTGCTACTTTGAGCTCAATTTCAAGGCACCTTTCATTGTAAAACCAGTCAAAATCATCTCAATTTCTGTAATATGTCTTCCATTCTATAAAATGAGACCAAGAAAACTAGAATACAACAATAAATACCATACGAAAATACACTGCAAAGTCGCCGATTTATTAAAAAAAAATGGTCAAAGTTTTTTTTTTCTCATTATGCACTGTGTGCTGCAGGATTTTTTTTAGACTGTGCACACTGACCACATAGACCCATTCTTTCATATGAAGGCCTAACAGCTTTCTCCCACTAGATTTGAGGCCGCTAGAATTTATGAGTACTAGTACGTCAAAAACCCCTACGCGTAAAACGTACTAGTACGACCAAAACCCTCAAAGGGTTAAACACACTCGTTAACGGTTGACTGAGCTTCATCTTGCATTCCTTAAGAACCCTGGAAAATAACTCATTGAGTCCCGGGGACTTATTTTGCTACAGTTTGTCTAGCTGTTTAATAACCATGTCCCTCGTGACAGTAATATTAGTTAATTTAAATTCATCATGAATTAAATAATTGTTAATTACTGGAATCTCATTTACATCTTCCTGTGTAAAAACTGACAAAAATAATCATTAAATAAGGAACACATTTCCAGTTCGTTATCCGTCAGCTGTCCATCCCCAATTTTCAGAGGTCCTACTTTTTCCTTCACCTTCGTCCTATACACTTGAAAGAACCCCTTTGGATTAGTCTTTGATTTATTAGCAACTCTAATTTCATAGTCACGTTTAGCCTTTCTAATCCCCTATTTTACTTCTCTTTTAAGCTGGACATATTGGTCAGTAAGGTTAACCTCTCCTTTTCTGATGTGCCTATAAATTCTCCTTTTCTTCCCTAATAGATGCTTTAGCCTCCTGTTAATCCATTTGGGATCGTTATTATTAGACCTAATTTCTCTCTGGGTAATGTATATACTCTGAGCACGGTGTACATTATTAAGAAAAAGATCATAAATGCAGATCCCTTCATAATTATAAGTATGATCATCGTGAATAAAATCATTAGCTAGATAACCCCAATCAAGATTAGACAGGTGTTCCCCAAGTCCATTATAATCGGCAGAACGAAAATCAGGATTTTTACTGTATTGTCATTATTCTTGTATTCCCAGTTAATGCTAAAAGTGATGGATTTGTGATCACTTGGCCAAGCTCTTCAGTGATCTCCAGATTACTTACGAGTGTTTCCTTATTTGACAAGACTAGGTCTAGCAAATAATCACCCCTGGTAGGCTCTGCTACACACTGCTTTAGAAAACAGTTCTGAACTGTTTCCATAAAGTCACTGGACTCTAGATTACCGATCAAAGAATTCCAGTCAATTTGACTGAAGTTAAAATCCCCTACTATTACTATGTTACTGTGTCTAGAAGCCCTAACAATTTCGTCCCAAAGAAGTCTCCCTCTATCGTGATCCAAGCCAGGAGGTCGGTATATTACACACAGAATTAGTTGTTCTTGACCTTCTACAAACTCAAACAGATTCTGTTACTGTTCCTTCTATTTTTATACCTGTTTTTATGCAACAATTAATATTTTCTCGAACATATAATGCAACTCCTCCCCCCTTCCCATTACATCTATCCACATGGAAGAGCTTAAACCCTTGAATATTACACTCAGCAATCATATCCTGTCTCTTTAAATCATACCAGGTTTCAGTTAATGCAATGACATCAAAGTTCCCAGCACATGCTACCAAACGTAGTTCATTAATCTCATTTCTTGCATTTCGACTGTTTTTTCTTCTGCACATTTTTCCCATCCATCTTTGTTTTTGCACAATTTCTGAAATTATCATTCCCCAGAGTTACTCCATGATTAAGATTCTTAATATCAGAACATAAGTCAATATATCCATACTCATTATTTATCATTTCTAAACCCATACCTCTAACTAATCCTAGTTTAAAGCTCTAACAACCCCCTCAACTGAGCTAGCAAGAAAACCCACACCTGCCCTGGATAAGTGAACCCCATCCCTGGCATACATGTCATTTCGGCCATAGAAGTTGTCCCAGTTGTCAATGAATGGTATTGCATTATCCTTACAGTGTTTATCCAGCCACCAATTGATACCAATTGCTCTTGACAACCATTCATTTCCAACACCCCTTCTTGGCAAAATGCCACATATAACAGAGCACCCCCCCTTCTTCCTAATTATGCCTATTGCTGTCTTGAACCTTCTAACTAAATCCTCACTTCTTCGCTTGCCTACATCACTGCCTCCAGCACTAAGGTAGATAATAGGATTGATCCCATTACCGTTCATGATGTTGTCAAGCTGGCTAACAACATCCTCCATCCCGGCCCCAGGAAAGCAAACCCTCTGTCTCCTACTCCTGTCCTTCAA